ACTTTTCTCCTCGCCATGTTTGGGATTTTTTTGTGAAAGTATCTGGCAACCCTACAGGGGTGGGCGATAATTTTTGATGAGGGTCACTCCAAAATTTTGGTAAGTGCTCAAGGGCCGCACTTTTCTATGGAGGGGGAGCCGGGGTCTGGGAGGGAGGTGGAGCACAGAAGGGAGCTTGGGGTAAGGAACTGGGGTGCAGGAGAGGGCATGGAGTCTGAGAGGGAGTTTGGGGGAAGGAGGGAATTTGCAGTAAACAACGCTTCATCTTCTGCCCCCTACCCTCAGTGCGGAGAGGCAGATAGAGCAGCCAGCTGCTCAAAGCACTGGGTCTGCTTCCTGTCCAGTGAGATGGGACAGGGGCCAGACTGTCCAGCCCCTGGGTCATATCTTGCCCACCCCTGGGACTAAGGCAAACCACAGATACTATTCCCTGCAGTCCTTCGTTCTTTGCCAGACAGAACGCCTTGCACACGAAGATCTCCTCGTGCTCTGACTGTGCTTGGCCAGTGTTTTTCAACCTTTTTTTTTTTATAAAAAAAAAGAAAAAGAGAAGTATCCCCAGTACCTACAGTTTTCAGACACTCACATTTTTTTCTACCATTGCAACACATTTGTTTAAACAACGTAATTGTACCCGGGCAGGCGATGAAACTTTTGGGTGTAAAAAGTACAAAAATAATAAAGCGCTGTAAAACTTACAACAAAAATTCGGTTTTCTCCAAATTTCAGTTGTGTTGACGTACCCCACCCCAGACTTCTCTCGTACCACTGGCTGAGAAACACTGTGCTAGGCAGCATTACCACCCCCACAGGCTAAACTAAAGAGAAAGAGAGACAATGCACCAGAAACGTGAGAGGCAGTGACAGATAGAAGCAAAATTTTCCCAGGGAGATTAAGCTCTCCTCCAGCTCTGTTGGCCTCTGGAAGGGATGGGTGGGGTTAGGGGATGGGTTGAAGGGTTTTTTCTATAGGCTGAACTCAGTTGAGAATAGCCACTTTTTTTCCTCTCCAGAAAAGACATAAAGGGAAAAAGAAACAAAGCTTTGTGACGGCTGCCACAAGGATTATCAGCACAAGGGAGCAATGATTCTACGTGTCCCTGCTTGAGACCTGCCATTTAGGGTTTCGCTTCTTGAGGATTTAAGATGTGGTTTGTTTGGGGACAACTCCTTCAGGAGTCTAAGCACACCAAAGGCACGAATCTGTGGAGACTGGGCTACCGATGGAACGCACAAGACCACTTCCCGGTGACGTGCAGCTGGCCGGAGTGAACCAATGCCTAGTTCGTTCTAAAATGTCCACCATCACACGGCGCTATGGTGATTTACAGCAAGTAGCATGCTTCCCTAATGGGGCGCTGAACACTGGCCGATCCCACCAATTTCTCCTGGGTTGTGTCTAGACTGGCCAGTTTTCCTGGAAAATCTGCCGCTTTTCTGGAAAAACTTGCCAGCTGTCTACACAGGACGCTTGAATTTCCACAAAAGCACTGACTTCCTACTTGCCACTTTAACCAGAAAGGACACTCTCTAAATGACTTAGCCACCTGCATTCTGCTACAAAGACCTTTTACATCTGCACTTGAAAGGGAATCCTCTGAACTGTCATTCATGTTAAAATTCGACACTTACCAACAAGGACTTAACAAGTCTTTGAACTTTCTCACCCATTACCAAGACAGTTTCCCCAATTATCACCTGTAATACCATTAACTCACAAACATCCCACTCTCCCTACCTTTAATATCAGCAATTCACAGACACTTACCTTCCTTCCTCCCCCTTCCCACCCCCCCGCATCCCCCTTCTGTTCTGCAATGTGATTTGTCCTTTTCATATTTGTTCATTTTTTTAAATTGTATCCTTTGGTATATATGGTTGTGACTACTTTCTTCCACTATTTGATCTGAGGAAGTGGGTCTGGCCCACGAAAGCTCATCATCTAATAAACCATCTTGTTAGTCTTTAAAGTGCTACATTCTCCTTAGTCCAGGTTGCCTACTTACCTAATTTTCATAATCTAGTTGTTCACCATCAAATATTTTATTATCTCTCCCCTGTACTTGGACTCGGTGGACCATTACACTGCCAATAATTTCCTACATTCTAATCTGAAATAAACAGTCTGCTATAAATCATTAACACTAGAGCTAGTGAGCAATCAGTGTTTTCTTGTTTTCCGCAAAAAAGCCCCGATCGTGAAAATGGCGATCAGGGCTTTTTGGTGGAAAAGTGCGTCTAGATTGGCACGGATGCTTTTCCGCAAAAAGTGTTTTTGCGGTAAAGTGTCCATGCCAATCTAGACACAGCCCTGGAGTTTTGGGGGCTCGGCAGTTCTGAGAATCAGACCGCCAGCCTGTCGCACATCCTGAGCACATCTCAAATATCTCCTGGTGGCCAACTGGTCACTCTCTCCCCTTGGCGGCAACTCAGTAATGAAGTATTAGGGCCATTCCCGTTTTACCGGCGGGGAAACCGACAGCCACATTGGAATTGTGCATCTATGAGCCATCGCGTCCAGTCATGTGTCAGTGACGGTAGATTGGACCAGCTCTGTGGAAAATAATTAAGTGACTTGCCCAAGGCCACCAGAAAGTTAGCTGATTTTGGGGAAGAAGCCCCAAATCAGCCTGTGCTACTCTAGTTCCGTTGACCATGATGGAAACACTTGATCCAAGTTTGACAGCTGGCAGTGTAAATTATGAATGAACTCCATGATAAAGGGACGCTGCAAGGGAGACAGAGTTCTGCACAACTAACTGAAAATAGCTACCCAGGTGACTGTTTATGGGTCAGCAGTGAGTTTTGTTTTTCCATGTTCCCCTGCCAGGCCAGCAACACAACGGTAATGCCTGGCTTGGCTTTGTCTGAACTGGACAATGAAACCGATAAACGCAGATAACATCCCAGCTGGGTGGAGAACGGACGGCCAACAGCCTCAACTGCGCATGGTCAATTGGATTATTCCAGAATCCAGTTCAGAAGCGCCAGGCAAGAAATCTCTTTCCATCTGGTTTCTGTTTTGAAAGGATCCATTGACATTAAAAAAAAAGTAGGGGGAAAAGCACCCCCACTGAACCCTGTCATAGAATCCCAGAGCGGCAAGAGACCTCAAGAGGTCATCGAGTCAAGCCCCCTGCCCAAAGCAGGACCAATTTGTCGTACCACCAAAGAGTGGATCTCGTTTGGTCATGGCATGCTAGAGATGGGAGGCAGAAAAGACCTTCTGCTCCTACTTCGACAGAAATCAAAAGCTCTGAATTCCCGCTCTTGATGTATTCACGTTTTAAGGAGACCCTGCTTGCCTGTTTCCCACGTGCTTGGTTTTCAACAAGGGGCAACTTCAGAAAGGCACCGTTTGGCCTGTCCCCTTCTGAGACCCGATTTCACATTCTGTTTCAATAGTAGCCACATTTTTTCCTTCTTAATACTTCCACATTTTAACCCGGTATCCATTTTTGTCTCGTCAGCCTTATTTTCACTGTAACTACAATGGTATTTCTGGGGTCGTCTGGGATGAGCAGGCCCGGGTAGCACAGGAATGCACCTGCCAGCATGAGAACTGCTCAGACTCCCTGAGCTCTCATCTGGAAATTGCCCTGGGGCCCGGTGATTCAGACCTTCTTAATACTTCCACATTTTAACCCGGTATCCATTTTTGTCTCGTCAGCCTTATTTTCACTGTAACTACAATGGTATTTCTGGGGTCGTCTGGGATGAGCAGGCCCGGGTAGCACAGGAATGCACCTGCCAGCATGAGAACTGCTCAGACTCCCTGAGCTCTCATCTGGAAATTGCCCTGGGGCCCGGTGATTCAGAAGGCCCCGGGCAGTATGCTCTGGGCAGCTCTGCGGTCTGCTGGGGAGGAGCTTTGGTGAATCGTTTTCCAGAGGGTGCGGAGAGCTGTCTGCCTCAGCTAGGGTTGCCAGATGGTTTAACCAAAAAATATGGAACAACCCCCCTCCCCCCAAAGAAACACTGTTGAGAAAAAATTGGGGGGAGACCAAAGTTATTGAGGGGGGAAAAAAGGACCCCGACAGTTATTAAGCAACCCCCCCAAAAAATGCAGAAAAAACAGCGTGGCCCCTTTAAGGCCTTTGGGGCTTTTTTTGCCGGTGGCCATCTTGTTTTCTTCCTCCGTTCCAGAAGACAGCTTCCCTGCAGAACCAAGTAAGCAGGGGGGAGGGGGAAGGGGGAGCCCGGTGGAGCTGGGGAGGCGGTGGGAGAGTCATTGGGGCCGGGCCCTCACGCCTCTGGCCACCCTGTCGCACTGGCCTCCGGCCGAACCAAGCGGGGGTGCTGGGAGAGGCCCGGGGGCTGGGTTGGGGGGGCAGGGGCGGGGCCCGGTTGCTGAGTGTGTGTAGGTTGCCAGGTGTCTGGTATTTTTGCCTCCTGGCAGGGAAAAAAATCAGAAAATACGGGACATTTTATGCATCCGGTATTTTCTGATTATTTTGACCGGACAGGAGGCGAAAATACCGGACAATCTGGGTCAATACCGGACACCTGATAACACTAGCTTCAGCCCCACCCCTTCTACCTGAGGCCCCGCCCTTTCCAACTGAGCCCCCGCCCCTTCTGAGAACATGATGTCGGGCCTGCCTCTACCTCGCCCACCAGTCTAGCAATCCTGTCAGCCCCGCAGGCTCTCGTGCACCATGTGGCACCTCAAGGCTACCCTTTTATTCTCAAAATAGCCTCCTCCACACAGGGAGACTTTGCACAAGGCGATGGTGTCCCCCGCACGGGGTGGTCTTGCACCTACGGTGAGCTTACCCTGTGGAGACAGCGCCATTTTGAGAACATGATGGTATCCCTCTTGTAGCAAAAGCACCATGACACCGTTCCAGAGCATCCCAGCCCCCTTGCAATAATCCGGCTCGAGGGGTGGACCCCGGCACAGCCCTCGGGACACCTCACTTTGCGAACCACTGGACTAGACAATCTCATTAATTTCCTCCTTTAGGAGCATTATTGCACTTGGAAAGCAAACCACTTACCAGTTCCTTCCTGAGCCAATTCAAAGCTTCCTCCAGGCTTTCAAAGCCGCTCACTTTCCCTGAAGTAAGCGTCACCTTCTCCGGAGAAGAACTCCCTTTGAGGTGCACCGGCACCTTTCTTAAAGGGGCGGTTTCTTCTGCAGCCTTTGTTTGGGCTTTAACCTCTGCCTCCTCAGAGGGCTTGGAGCTCTTCCACGTTTGATCCTCAAGTTTGGCCTTCCACTCCAAGTAGGAAGGGCGCCTGGTCTCCAGCCTCAGTTTCTCCGTCAGGGCCTTCAGTCTTCTCAGGTGGTCATCCGGGGCTGCGGCATTCTCCGCGGTGGCCTCGCCGCTGCCCACCGCCTCTTCTATCTGGATTCTGGGCAAAGACATCCTCCTCTGGAGTCAAATGTCATCGAGGTTGGGTGTCACGTTTGGGGCAACCGCAAAGCTCAAGGACTCCTTCTGCGGAGATCAGCTTCCCATGCACAAAACCAAGTTCTGGTGAGCTGGCCAGCCACATCGGCT